AAAACGAAGTGCGGATTTGGAATTAGGGCATCGAAATACACTAAGAACGGTCCCGGACAATTTTCGTAAAAAGTAAACGAAAAGTCAACGTCAACTATAAAATGTCAACCAAGTCGCCGGGCCAGTCAACTATTTTAAAACTTCAAAATTTCACTTAATTGATGCCAAAAACGGACTCGAGGCATTGAAATTAGCCAAGGAGAGGTTCCGACAAAAATCTGAAAAAGTCAACAGAAAGTCAACATAGGGAATATGAGAGAATATTCCCTCTTCTTCTTCATTACTTCGGTCACTGAGGGCACTGCCGGCCGCCGGGGACATCACCGAAAACTGGGTTTTTTGTTTTTTGTTTTGATTTTGTTTTTTTTGCTGAAAAACTCAACGGAACTAGGTTTATTGGCCGGATTTCTAGAGGATTTTCAAATGGCTATATCTCTATCATTTCTCAACCAAAATTGACCCATATCAAAACGAAGCTGGAGAAGAGTAAAACAAGATTATACCTATTTGGAGTTAAAAAGTTGGCCAGAGATGGCCTGAAAATGCCTGCAAAGGCGTGCAGGTCACCGAAAACTGGGAAAATTCAAATGATTATAACTTCTTCCATACTTCACGAAATTGGGTGATTCAAAAAAGAAAAATCATACCTCTCGACGAGACAAGAGAATGGAACCTTTCTCAACGACTAACTCACAGTGGATTGGCTAGAAAATGGCTGGAAAGGTCGCGACCTGATTGAGATTCGATCTTGACGATCCAGAAAGAATTTCGAGGTGAGGTTTGGGTGTTTTGAGCTCGTGGTGCTCTTGGTTTGGATGGTGGTGGTCGAAAAATTGGTGCACTATATATGCATAGTGACAAAGAGAGAAAGAGAGAGATGAAAGTGAGACTGAGAGAGAGTTCGAGAGTTTCCCAATGAATGGGGAAGAAGATGCCATGTGGAAGAAAGGGAGAGGAGAGTTAAGTGGGGTGTGGGCCCCAAAGCCCGAAAAATTAATAAAATATTTAAAATATTCCACCAAATATTATTAAAAATAATAACATAATAATAAAATATTATTAAAATAATGATATAATAATATAATAATTATAAGAAATATATAAAATAATAAATAGTAATTTTTACAAAAGGATTCTTTGAATTCGTAGTTCCGTAAAACCTTCCACGTAACTCCGATTTTGATTCTGCATGCACCTATGCGTTCGTACCGTCGAGTTCTTCGAGAATACCTTAAAATAATGGCTCATACGCATCACAAAATAATGATCAACTGAAGTCAATAATCTCGCCTCTAGGGTATGTTCGTCAATTCGTACTTTTAAATTTATAAAGTTGTTAAATTAAGGATCCGTTGTTATGTATTGGTGAAACTTCAAGTTGTAACCATTTGGATGAGATGATATTTGAATTTGGATATGGCGGGGTTTGCTTATCATGCCCCCACACGCTGAGAGGTAGACGATGAATGGAAAGCTTGGAAAGAACAAGATTAAACCTTTTTGTCTATAATCCTTTTGTCAAAAAGTCTGCGATCCGATCTTTTGTGGAAAAAAAAAAAAAAAAAACCAACTGTAAACTGTTTTCGAGTAACATTTTCGCACATGTAGTGATAATCCACCTCAACATGGTGAGTTCTGGAATGAAATATTGGGTTAGACTTAGATACCAAAGAGATTGCTGAAATAATGTCACACCAAATCTGTGGTGGTAAAAATAGGAGTTGAAGATCAAGAAACAATTTTCAAAACAATGATATTAGTGGTAAGACGATGCATATATTAGCAAACTTGATTGACAACAACAGTAATATCAAGCCTTGTGAATGCGAGATATTGTAGGGCTCCAACCACACTACGAAATTTAGTCACATCAGAGAGAGGTTCACCTGCATAAAGATTAAGACAACAACCACAATCTGCAGATGTTGAAACATGTTTACAATCAAACATATTTGTACATTTGAGCAAATCTGAAACATACTTGTGATGTGAAAATTATGTTGACACACAAATTAACCCTCTTGTTATCAATTGTAGCAAAGTATGTAAGTAGGGATCGTTCTAAACCGGGGATTAGGAGGGATTGCAAAATCACTTGAAAACTGACTCAAATACGTAAAAACAAGTGTAAAACACTAAACTAGACTCAAAGAATGCAAAACTAAACTTTAAAACACCAAAACAAACCAAAAGACTCAAAACAGCCCAAAAACACTCAAAACTGCCTTAAAACCACAATCTGGGCAGTTTTGAACACTAGACACAAACTTGGACGAAAATTGGTTTTAACTTGACCTAAGACACTTAAAAACACAAACTAAAGTGATTTCTAACTACTATGACTCAACTAAGTAAAGGGGGATTGATTTTGGACGAATTTAACTTTGAAAACAGAAACTTTGAAAATAAACTTTGACAAAAACGTTTTGATGAAAACTAAGATGGTGAAAGGCTAGTTAGAAGGTTCCTTCTCCACACATGAAACATATGCATACGACTCGATTTCCAATTACTCTTTCAATAAACCTTAAATGACAATGCCCCAAATTAACTAGATTGACCAATTAATTCTCAGATTTCCCTAGATTCATTGAATTGAATGGGATACGCATTACAACCAAATTATTCTTATCAAGGACCTAACTATGGAATACGCATGATAGAGACACATATCAAAGATCATTAAGTTCAATGGAAATCATAAGCATTGACGAGGCATTCATAACTATGGGATACGCATGTTACTCTTGCCTAGGATTTACTTAACACAATCGTGACTAGCGACTTTTACTACTTATGAATATAAGTTAATAACGATTAGGTGAAATTCCCTTATACTCTAGCATCAAATTCATGCTTGCAAACTAAGTGTCGACCCTCAATCAACATACATAAACATGTTATCAATCAAATAGATAAGTAAACCACATTCACGATTCATGAAATCATAATTGGACGAAATCAAGTCATATAAAACATATGATCATGGCTTTGAATTCCCCTCTAACTATAAAGAAATTAGTTCCTCATGTTCGCAAACAAACAAAGATAAATAAATTTAAACATTGAAACAAAGATAGAAAACACCTAGAAACGCTCCGACAATCCAACGTCTTGAATGGCATGCACGGCTCCAAGTTGTCTTCCTTCTTCTCCTTGCAAACTCACGGCACAATGAGGGATGATTGGTGAATGGTGTAGTGAAAATCTGGTAGAGGGTGGTGAGTGAAAGGGTGCGGCAATGGGTTGTATATATAGGCTGAAAACCTCATCTCCTAGGTAGCAAAGGACAAGGTTTTAAAGGCCTAAATTGCATAGGATAATAACATCCAATCCTATAAGGAAAACAAGTCAAAAACCCAAAGGGATTGGGAGATAAGGTGTAGCACAAAGAGTGTGAAATGATAAGGCTTCTAGAAACCAAAATCCTAAAGGAAATAGGGTAGAAAATTCGGCACAAAGTGTGGTTTCTAGAAGGATAATGCAAGGCAGATTTTTAGGCTTCTAGAAAGGTTCTTAGGTGTCATCTTGGTAGGATAAGATAAGGTCTTCTAGAAATCCCATTTTAAGCATCCTAATCTAATTAGAACCCTCCTAAGTGGCTGGAATGTGGATAGTTTAGGATAAGGATAAGATAGGATAGGATAAGGTTTGATTGGATAAGATAAGCTAAGATAAGGTTATGGATGAGGTTTTGGATAATACTCCTTATCTTGAGCTGATTCTTTGGCTTTAATTCTTCTTCTTCATGTAGGAAACCTTGCTTGAGTAGGAAACTTCATATATCTAGGAATCCATCTTCAATTGGGACTCCTTTAGTGATTAGGAATCCCAATTCATTTAGGAATCCTTCATTCAAGTCATTTCCTTCTTCAACTAGGAAACTTTGTATCTTCAATTCTTCAACTTTGAAACGCCTTCCTAGCTTCACCAATTCCTCAAATTCGTCCATCCCTTGTGCTTCATGTGCATGAACTCCATTTTAGCCCAATTTTGCTCCAAAATGCTCCAAATTGCATCCTTTTGCTCACTTTGTCTCTAAAACCTGAAAACACATGAAAATAGCTTAAAAGACTAACTTAACTAAGAAAACACAACATAAATGCATAAGAACTAACTAACTAAGGCGCATAAATATGCTCCTATCAACTTGCTTGAAAGAGATAGAGACCACTAGTAGAATGTTGTACTTCCATGCCCAAAAGAATAATTTAGTAATCTGAATTGGTTTTTGTATACATAGAATTGATTTAAATGGAGTTAAATGAAACGATAATCTAATTTTCATTTAAGGAGGGACTATTTTGTTCTCTCTCTCTCTCTCTCTCTCCCTCCAAAATCCCCCACTGCAAACTTGCCTCTTTCCTTAGCTCTCACACTACCTATCTCCTTCGACCCTCTCTCTAAGTACAAGACTTTAGAAACTTATGATGAAGCTCTGACCCATCCGCCGTATAGTTTTGAGCATATGATGGATGAATGGCACTGGCTCTACATTTATTTTCAAAATTTCTAATTTTAGGAGATGGACGTCTTTTAGGATCAAGCAGTTGGCTGATGAATTAAGTTGTCGGGTAAAAATTTACCTTTTTAATTTGTTTTCCTTTTTTATAAATCTTACCCAACGAAATTTTTGTCGGGTTAAATATATTTTATTATTATTTTTCATAAATTTAAACTTTGTTCGATGAAAGATTTCAGTTGAGCATGTATGGTTCATCGAGCTAATTGGTCAACACAATTTGGTTCAATGAAATGGTCATGGAATGTCTATTGGGCAAAGTCCTATTGTCCAATGGTTTCTAATTTTTGTCGGGCAAAATTTCGTGCAACGACATTTGCGGGACGATCTTTGCCAGATGAATGTTTGTCGGGCGAAATCTAAGACGACGAATTATGAGCTCGAGAAACAAAAAGGTTCTTTTTTTTTCTTTTTTTTTTGTAGTGATGTCACCTTTGTTTCATCACAAATAATGTAAAGCAAAAGTGCACAGTATGCATTCAGCAAGTTGTGGCTCAAATATTTTTATTACAAAGAAAATCAACCACATCCTCTAAAGAAAAATTCGAGAGATGAAAAATAATCTGTTGCCTGATATCAGCTCAAAATATTTGTATTTCCTTTCCTTCGATAGGCCTTTTGATCAGCCTCAATAACAATTTACAACACGAAATGAACCGATTAGCTTTTGCAAAACAGTTATTTAAATTTCAAACTATTAGAGTTTAAGTGGTTGCAATTTGCAAAGTTTGTTTGCTATTCGTGCACATTTTCTTCTAACAGGGAAGAGAGAAATTTCTTGAGTTCCTTGTTGTATACAAATAGTCCTTCCACTTGAACAAGGTGGCCCGTCTTCTCTATGGACTGTAGAGTTGCGTTGTCTCCAAGTTGGCTGTTATATAATCAGAAGACCCCAATATAAATGGATTATCATCATATAGTATGTATCTGAAAAATTTTAATGAATATAACAAATTAAGTGATTCGATCCATTTTAATTAAGGTTTACATTAAAGTCAAAGTTATTGAATGAGTAAAATAATGTATATGTCTAAGACAAGTTAGGCATACAGTTTGAGATTATTGGCAGTTTCCATGTTGAAAATCTTGTCATTCTCTCCCCACAAAAGATGCACACGCTGCAAGAAAACGATCGAGACATTAGTATCAAAGGAAAGTATTGGAGAAAACATTAGATAGATCACTTTCCTTGATTTTGTTAGGACACATTTGATAGCCATTTGAGGTTTCAATTTTCACCAAAATAACTTTCAGTAGCAAACAAATGTTATTTTTTTAGCTTTAAAAAAAAAGTAAAAAAAAAAAAACAAAATGGTTATCAAACGGCCTTAACATTACCGAATTGTCTAACATATTTGGATAACGGCGGACATAAAGATGTAGACTATCCAAAATGTATAGAAAACCTGTGGGTAATGAGCCGCTGTAAAGTCCTTGTCATCCACAATCAATGCATCCAAAAGTTCCTCACTCTCTTTTCTGTGTTCAAACATAACCTGCAGCCATGCACAACGCTCACATATATGCATTGACTCAAAAGTTTAAGACCTCAAACGATATGCATGAGTACTAATCCAGATCAATATGCATGGGTGGGTTAGGATAAGCAACTATCTAATTAATCCAAATAACATACCTCTAAATAGTGTTTGTAAATCCAGTCTGGGAGATGCGGAAATTTATAGGCAGCAATTTCAAAAAGGTTTCTCACACCTTTGACTGAGTCGGGAAGCAAGTAATCTGACCAGCATTTGAACCCAAGTCTATCAAGAGATGCATTAGTAATTGACCTGGTTAAAGCCATAACTGAACAAGTCACCACCATAGACTCAACCAAATTAGGGTACAACTCAGCCATCTTAAACCCAACCATGCCTCCATAGCTCAGCCCCACCACGGTGCACCTCTCCACCCCAAGTATCCTCAAACCCTTTGCCACACACTCCGCTTGAAACTCCAGTGACCTATCCGGTTTATCCGTAGTGGAGCCTCCAAAGAAGAGAAGGTCCGGAACATAAACCGCGTAGTCTTTAACAAGAGATAGCACTTGAAATTGCCATGTGGTGATACCATCCATTGCAAACCCATGGATGAATACCACGGCGGGCTTGGATTTCTGCTTTTCTGTAATTTTATTGGGCACCCAGAAGTTCATGATAGTTCCTGGCTCGATTTCCACTGTTTGGGGTCTCATCCCTACTAGCTTCATAACCCCATGCAGAATAAACTTGTAGACTGGAAAAATGTTCCCCATCTCTCTCTCTCTCTTTCTCTCTCTCTCTCTCTCTCTCTCTCTCTCTCTCTCTCTCTCTCTCTCTCTCTCTCTCTCTCTCTCTCTCTCTCTCTCTCTCTCTCTCTCTCTCTCTCTCTCTCACGAACACAGAGGCATAAAACAATTACCCGGCATTTAATATAAAGATAAGTTGGCTTCTGGCAGTAGCTAGTATGTTTTTTGCATGCATGATTTTCGCACGTTAGGCAAGAGATAGTAACATAGTAATATACCATGTCATTTGATAACAAAAGTAAAAAAGGAAATACCCATATGAATTCAATGAATATGATATAATTGAAATATACAGTAATCTGAAACCGTAGCATCTAGAGAAAGTGGAGAACAAAAGTAGTCATAGAGGAAAGAGGAAGTAGGAGAAACACTTACTTTTCCTCCTCCCCTTCCTTTCACACCTTGTTTTCTTTTTCTAGTCTATTGTGTTGAATAATAAACATTTTTCTTTGTGTAATTTCATTAAAAATCAACATTACAAAGCGCACACATGAGGACATGGATATGCATTAGTAAGATTTAGGTCAATATGACCGCCTGCCATTGTTGTTTCTTCATTTTCATCATTTGTGACCATTCCTGCCACCCTGCAGTCATTGTAGAAAAGTTAGGTGTGACCATTCCTGCTATTCCTGCAATTCATTGTAGGAAGTTACACAAAATAAAGTGAGATTGATTATCTATCAGTAGTCTACCTCTCTGTAAAGATGGTTGTGGGTGTGTATAGCTGAGCAAGGGTTAGGTTTAGTAAGTAGTAACATGTTTTTCCTTATTTGAAATAAGACAAGTCATGAATCGAGAACAAAGAATGAATGAATGAGACTACCTAGCAGTCTACCCCTCGTTTTCCATACAGAGCATAACCTTTAAGGATTTGACAACTTGTTAAAACCCCTAATAAGATCACAAGTTTATAGTTATAACGAATACCCAAAGAAATTGGGCAGGTTAACGTAAAGGTGCAATTCGGGCCCAATCAAACATATACAAATCTTGTTATCAAACTCGTATCTTACCACAGGCACGTCAGGTGGGAAGGTTTAATCATAAAACTCATCATTATAATTGGAAGCAGAATTGCTCCATATAAGTTATATTCAACTTCTTTTCCATTTTCTAATGTAAGATTCTTGTATTCTTTCAACATGTTTAAAATTCATTAGTTTATATTTAGTTGAGATTTCTAGTCCCCTTGCTGTCTAGACTGGATTGCAGTGTTTCTTTTGTTAACTTGAGCTCATCCAATCCTCATTAGCATTTAATGTTACCACTACTACATTTAACAGTTATCGCAACAAACAAGTATTGGTCGCGCAAAGCGTTTTCCCATTGCATATGAGTCAAAGCAATGAACATTTCATCACGCAAAAGTCGTGAAAAAAGACCTTAAGCGACAAACGGTCGCGCAACGGTTTTGGACCTCGTCGCATGAAATTTTTAGGAACAAAGTTCTTCATCGCAAGAAATGCTAAGCTACGAGTGTCCATCGACACGATATATACCTGGGGACGACTAAGCGTCGTCTCAATTGATTCTAAAATGGGCAAAATAATTCAAGAACCCTAACTCTATAAACCCTAATTTAAAATGATGAAATTCTAATTAAGTAAATTAAAAAAGGAAAATAATCTCTTGGAGATGCAGGACCTCGGCTGGGGCGAAGAGAGAGGGTGAGAGACGGAGAGGGAGGGTGAGAGATGTTGAGAGAGGGTGATAGATGGAGAGGGAGGGTGAGAGACAGAGACAGAGGGCGAGAGATAATGAGAGAGGTTGAGAGAGAGTGAGGGAGGGAGGGACTGAGGGTGAGAGAAGGTGAGAGATAGGCGTCGGAGGACGAGAGAGCAGTTGGAGGAAGAAGAGAGAAGAGTGAGGGGAAAAGGCTGTTTGGAAAGAATTAATACAGAGATTCTTGCACAACGAAAGCTTCGTCACACAATAAATTCAAAATTTCATGAAATACTAAATTGCCCGTCCAGAAATTCTAGGGCACCAGAATTACTCGCACTTGCACGACAAATACCAAGATTCATCCCACGAAGCTCCTTTGCTGTGTATTTATAGACATTCGTCACGCAAGTAACTGAAAATAAAAATTAACATGTAAAATTAAAGCACTTGCGTGAAGAAAACTGGGTTATTTCTCGTGCAAATGTGTCAAATAAATGGTTAATTTTTTTATTTGATTAAAATTTATTCTAAAAAATAAATAAAAATAATTATTTATAAAACAATTCACAAATAAATTGCATTTACACCGCAATTCACAAAGTAATTTACAAAAAATATCATTTAATGTATTTTACAAAGCAATTCACAAATAAATTGCATAAATCTTCATCCGAACTATAATACCTTTCAATGTTGTCGCTATCATCATTTTCATTGTCTCATTCCTCCTCTTCGAGAAGTATGTCACTGCCGTCGTTCACGTCCATTGCAACATCGTATCCCAAAAGATTACAGAGGCCAATTGTAATTGACTCAATCGATAATTCGATTGAAGCCACTGCTTGTACTTGAAATGGTTTTTTGACAAGATTTGTATCCCAGAGTGTTTCCACACCAATTTCCATCATCGATTCTAGACATTAGCAGGGCTGGTCCTAACTTTTTTTTATTCTAGGGCGAAGGCTAAAAAGCGTGCCTTTTTTCAATACACAAACATATATTAAAAAAATTAAAGTGGGCTGGAACCCAGTCAAAGCTGGGGGGCTAGGCCCTCATGCCCATATTATATTACTTGAAAAATACAATTAAAAGCAAAATCATATACAACCAATCCAAACAAAACAAAACTCTTTGAAATTTCAACCCTTCGAAGTCGTCTTCTGGCATTTTTTGAAGCAAAATCATCAATTATCATTATACTCCAAGTCTTCAACCTTATCTTTTTCAATGCATAAGATTGCTGATCCATTTAGCCTAGCTTCAACCAAGTGGTCCGTAAGTAATTTTCAATAATTTTAATGTTGAAAAACTTCTTTATGCAGATGCCACAGTCATAGGTACAATCAACAATGCACGATAAGCAATCAATACATTTGGACACATGTTGATTTCCCTTGCAAACTTCGCTATTTCCATGGATGTCCAAGGCCTATTAGATTGAAGTGACTCTTTAGGTAACACCATTTGCAATATTTGTAATTCAGAATATAAGACGGCTCCATCTACATCAATGGAATTTCCATGTTTCAAATGTGATTCAAGATTTATGCCACACTCTTTTAGCTCGTGAATGTCTAATGAAATTAACTTTTTTTGCATCGAATAAGAAGCCAAAAATAGATTCAAAATCCTTGAATTGTTCAAACTTGTGTTTCAGTTGAAAAAGAGCAATATCCACAATAACAAGAAAATAATTTGTTCTAAATGATTCTTCAGCAAACTGTTGTTCCTTCTCATTATCATCAATTTCATCATGATGTCTTTTTCTAGTTCTATGACATTTAGTTTGAAAAACAAGGTCAATTCCCCGAATGAAGTGCAATTTCTTTAGCATTAATCACAGCAGAAGTAAAACCAGTTTCTCTGTAGTTTTCATATAATGTAACAAGTGCTTCCAATGCCTTCATAGCAACATGAAAACGCATTTATTCATATTGTAATTTTGTGCTCACCATGTTAATCTTTAACAAAATGTCATACCAAATAATCAAACTTAATACAAAGTCAAAACTTGAAAGTTCTCTTGATGCTAAGCATCTTGCATCCCTATTCAATTGGGGATTCTCAATAATTTCCGTCAACTTAAACAATGCATCTCTAATTTCGGACACTTGGGATTTAATTGTTTTAACACTTTCAATGTGACTTTCCCATCAAGTAGTTGACAATAATTTGAAAGTTAAACCATCAATATGTTCAAGAAAAATATTTCAACGCTTTGTAGAGTTAGAAAACACATTATATACACATTGGCAAGCTCCAAAAAATAAAAAAAAATTGCTTTAAGACACAAACTTGCCATATCACAAACTATTAGATTAAGACAATGAGAATCGCATGGCATGTAAAAAGCTCTAGGATTTATGCCTAACAATCTTTTTTGTACACCTTGGTGTTTCCTTCTCATATTAGATCTATTATCATAACCTTGCCCCCTCACATTATCAATATCAAGAAACTTTAATACATCTTGCAGCGCATTCAAAGGTCCTTGTCCTAATATATCTTCCACACTTAAAAAGTCCAAAAAATACTCTTTTATTTTTATTGATCTACTTGACAAGTCAACACATCTTAAAATTAAAGTAATTTGTTCTACATGACTTGCATCAAGAGTACAATCAAGGATGACAGAAAAAAAATTGGCCCCTTTTATTTTCTTTTAATGATTACGGTTTTGACTCTTGAAGCTAAAGTAGCTGTCAACTCATTTTGAATTTTATGACTCAAATAGTGATGATGAATCTCTTTATTATCAATAAGTTGTAAACGCTGTTGCATTATTGGATCAAATTCCACAATCTTTTCAAGTAGACCTAAAAAGTTGCAATTAGAGGCTTCATAAAGTCTTCCATTTGTTCCATAAAATGCTAAATTACGTATGTCAAGACATTTCACAACAACAATAATTCTAAGCATCACGTGTTTCTAATGATGTGCCTCTTTCTTGATTCGCATTTGAAATTCTTTGTCAATTGTTTTATTTTTTTGTCAATCTAGTTTCCAGCCCAACCCAAGTTTTCAAATTAGTGATATGTTCTTTACTTTTTTCATGTTGCTCAAGCTTCTCACCAACAATAGAAGCAAAATACTTTATCTAACTCTATTGAGTACACTAGCCACTTCCTACCAAAAGTTTCAATTGTTGGTAATTTTTTATCATAATAGTGTGTGGTAATTTTTGGTTTCCCTAATTGGCCATTCTCTACAAGTATGTCTCTTATTTTTGCATTAAGACCATCCCCAAATCGTGGATCATAAATGTTTAAATGGAATATAGGTTCTTGAGATTCAATATTTTCCTCAATATCAATTTGGTCATCACCAACAGTTCCCTCTACATCACCACCATCTTCCTCTACATCGTCGCCATCTTCATGATCACGAGACTTCTCACCAACATCTTGTAACTCGTTCTTTTTAGAAAAAAAATTTAGTAAGAGATCCTTTTAAACTTTCGGCGATTTCTTTATTTATTTTTTATTTTTTGTCTTTTGATATTACCAGAGAGTTGTTTCCTAAAAGAAATGGCTAAGATCACTTCACTTAACAAAAATTCTTAGTTCATATTATCATTCCAACATATATTATACATTATGAAAATACTAACATATATTATAAGAAATTAGCAACATACATCAATCATATCAATTAAAATTTCAACATATATTAAAAAAATTACTTACTTGCCAATTGCCACTCG